ATCATTGATTCTTGCATAATTACCAAAATAGAATTGATTGCACTAAAAAATAAGGCTGACAATATGCAACCAAAGAAAAGAACTAGCTCGCTGTTCACCTATATCTGATGCTAAATTGTTCATGTATCCTCCCGTTGATTGGGGATTTGGATTGGTTGGAATGCTTTCTTCTTCTAAGAGCTCATTAACATTAATATTAGTCTCATCTTTGGGCTCGATCTTTCCTCTTGCCCTTATGCTATATTTTTTTTGGGAGTGCAAGTGGTTTGTTTTTTGAAACTAGAGACTTTAAGACTATTAGGAATGAAAGCACCTTCAGTTGATATCACAGTGAATAGCTTATGAATATCATGGCAATTCAATCTTTTCTCCTTTCTGTTTGGCTTTCCTTTTTTCCTCTAGACTCAGTTTTTTAACATTTATAGCTTTGAAATTTTTCACATTTAGCGGTAGATCATAACCATATACAAGGGAGGTAAGCCTTTAGCCACTTTCATTTGCATGCTTACAATTGTAAAAAGACTTCTAAGCATGTGGAAGTATATATAAAATGCCATAAGATGGAGTTTGTTCTTATGTTAAATATATCTTCTCAAAGAGTTTCCACTTCTTCAACCCTAGAGCACTACATGTTTGTTTTATAGAATTCAACGAATGTCAATGATTACGTTTTTATTCTTGCCATCCTACTTTCTAATGAAATCATATAAAGCAACTGTCATAAAATTTTGCTTGGAAGCATCCATCTTTGCACCCACCCAAAGAAAGCATTGAGAAAAAAACTCTTCATATCTAGGTTGCTGCCGTTTCGCACTCTGGATATAAAGAGTGTTTTGTTCTCAATACTTTCTTTGGGTGGGTGCAAAGATGGATGCTTCCAAATTTGTGGCTCTTGTGGAGACGATTCAAATTTGTGGCTCTTGTGGAGACAATTCAAATTTGTGGCAAGATTTTCTTTATCCTTATCCATGCCATCATGTGTAAAACTTGTAATCAGTTTGTCGCCTGGTACATATCAAGAAGCAATAAGTTTCATTAGAAGATATGAAATACTTGAACAAGGATTCTATGGAGAAGTCATTGGTTGAAGCTTCTCTCTCTCTCTCTCTCTCTCTCTCTCTCTCTCGAAAAAGAAAAAAAAACAAAAAAAAATTCGATACCATTGGGTAAATAGAGAGATTGCCCCTATTCTTCCCACTTAAAATATTTATGGTACTGCATGGTGGTGTTCCATGTCAAATTGAATGTTAGTTTAGGTAACACACACTTGGATCATGTATCAACTCATAAAATTGATGCTCCAATGTAGGTTCCTTTAAACTCTGTGATGTCTGGGCAATGTTTTCCTCGTCCTCTTCCTCCAGTAATTCATACAATAGCTTAAAAGTTTTTCAGGTTTTGTACATGTAGATGCATCTGCAGATCTTGATTGGTTTGACTACTGAAGCATAACACAATTAATAAGATGATTACTGGAGCATAATGGAAACATAGCAACAGCTAAATGCTTTTGCATTTGAATAAATACTACGTATAGCATTTCCTACTTCTTTTCTCAAGTATTTTCCCTATAAGAGAGTTTTCTTTCTCTAGTAAGGAGCTCCTGCTACTTGTCTTGCATGTGCAATGCATCATCATCTTTGCTTTACATTCTTTCCCTAATTCATTTCAGCTCTATTAACATGCACAAGGCCCATAAAATTGCATAGGACCCATGTGGTCGAACATTGTTTAGAGCAGTTCTGATGCAGGGACAAAAAAAATAAATAGAAAATAAAGAATAAAACTAAAAAGAGGCTTGAGAGATTATACAGTTAAACATTCTCTCAGGGTCTGCAAGGGAGTCCACCGCAGAGATATTTTCACAAGAGCCAAATTCTTTACTCAATTCACCATCTCCTTTACAAAAAAGGGGTCTACTTTTAAATACATATTAAAAAAAAAAGGGAAAAAAGATCAAATTTTAAAAAACCCAACAATAAACTCTCTCTCCTCATGTAAATCTTTTCTTTATCTCCCTCCCACGTTTTCTCTATCTACCTTTTTCCTCTCGCTCACGTGAATCTCTATATGAGATTCCATAAAATCTCTTAATTAAATTTTAAGTCCATAAAAGTAGGACTTCTTTACGTAACCCCTAGTTACCCAATTGTATATCCTAAAAAACCAACCATGCCTAACTTTCTTTTTAAAACCAACTCTGCCTAGCTTATCCTAAAATCCAGCCCCTAACCACATCATAAAAACTCATGCCACACCCACCCAATTCTTAAGAAAGATAACCCATTTAAAAAGTAATAAATTTTTTTTTTTTTGAGTTTCTGAATTTGTTATCTGCATCATTCTCCTAGGGTTGGAAGAAACTCGACCTTGAGCTTAAAAATTTGAACTTGATTCAAAGACGGTCTCCCTCATCACCGTGAGGAATATTTTTAGAACTTGATCTTTTTTCTTGAACTTGTACTTCCTTAGCCAAGTATACCTCTGTGTTCTTTGTTGGGCATTCATATGTACAGTGTTCTGTTTCATTGCACGGAACTTGATCTTTTTCTTGAACTTGTACTTCCTTAGCCAAGTATACCTCTGTGTTCTTTGTTGGGCTGTACGGTATTCTGTTTCATTGCACGGAACTTGATCTTTTTTCTTGAACTTGTAGCTCCTTAGCCAAGTATACCTCTGTGTTCTTTGTTGGGCATTCATATGTACGGTGTCCTGTTTCATTGTACCGATAACTAGTAACCTTTGAGGTATGCTTTTTTTTTTATTAAATTTTGGTTGATGTGCAACCTCCTTCTGGGTGTAAAACCATATATCGGTGATCCCTTGGTATTTAGTTTCTACTCGTAAAGCAATTTGAAAATCATCACTTAAGGGCCATGGCCGATGTAGAAAGACCTCATCTATAATGGTTGGTTGGAGCCCATTCACGTACTGAACAACCTTTTGTCCTTCAGTTTCTTTAAGGTTGTTTTGAGCCACAACTTTACAAAATTCCCTAGTATAATCCTTCACTTTCTTTTCATTTTGGAGATATTGAAAGAAAATATGCTCAGGATCTATAGGAAGAAAATTTTCTTTCAATCTCGCCAGTCAGAAATTTTTTACTTTTCCACTACGAAGTTGAGTTTGTTGAACTTGTTCCCACTAGGTCGTAGCATACCCGTGGAGCATGGGTGCAATAAATTTAACCTTACGCTCATCTGGCTATAAAATCCTTTATGTGGTGCTTACTATGAAAGTCAAGGATATCAACTCTAATATTGAAATCTCGAGGACGCTGCATAGGACCTGGAACTTGCCTGCAAATTTGCTCGTTACGGTTGGGACCGCCACTCTGAGTTGATCATGGGACTATTGGTGCAAAATTTATGTGGTTGCGAGCGCCTTCTTCTCCGTGAACAGTGTTTTCTGATCAGTGCAACCGATGATTCACTTTGCCGATCTGTCCTTGTAGGTCGCACATCTCGTTTTCATATCTTCTATGGCTTTAGTTAAACCTTCTATAATTTGTGGCATGCGATCATCGATCGCAGGATTAGGATTGGTGGCAGTGTGATTGATGGATCTTGCTTGCTCTGATAACAACTAATGTAGAGAAAAAAATAATAAATAGAAAAATAAAGAGTAAAAATAAAAAAGGGCTTAAGAGATTATAATCTCTCTCAGGGTCTGCAAGGGAGTCCATGCCAAAGATATTTTCACAAGGCCCAAATTTTGTACTCAATTCACCATGTCCTTCACATGAAGGGCCTCCTTTTAAATACATATTAAAAAAAAATTAAAAAATTATAAAAAACATCCACCTATAAACTCTCTCTCTCTCCTCACATAAATCTCCCCTATCCCCCTCCCACATTTTCTCTATCTCCCTATTTCCTCTCTCTCTCTCTCTCACGTGAATCTCTAAATGAGCCTCCATAAAATCTCTTTCTAAATTTTAAGTCTATAAAAATAGGACTTCTTTACGTAAACTGAAGTTACCCCAAGTGCATATCATGAAAACCCAATCAAGATTTATCTCTTTTGAAACCAACTAGCCTAGCTTATCCTAAAATCCAACCACCTGACCACATTAAAAAAACTCACGCGACACCCACCCAATTCCTAAAATAGATAACCAATTTTAAAAAATAACAAAATAATATTTTTTTTGAATTTCCTAATTTTTCATATGCATCAAGTTGTCGTCATATATAAGAGATATCGTGGTCTTAGTATCTCATCAAAATTCCAGATTGCTGGGATATGGTTCCTTCAGGGGAATTTGTTTAAAGTACTAGCAAAACCAATTGAGGGACCTCATTAGATATATATTGTCACTTAATATTCGTAGAAAGGTAATTGGTCGATTTTATATTTCTTTATATGCTGGTGTATTATTGGAATATCTATATAATTTATCCCATTAATTTATTCTACATGGTTGTTTATCTCCAAAGAGGCTTATTCAGACAACCAAAAGTACTTTTTCCTGTTTTTGAGGTTTGTCTTATAATCTAGATAGCAACATCATTGAGTTGGCATGCTTGAGGCTGCTAGGATTATTGGGTGTGTCCGCTGGTCACTCTAGATTGGAAACCTAATTAGTTACTTAGACGAACTGTTAGGGTGCATCTGTCTTTTCATGTATAGTCCCAGAAAGGAATATTTTCTTCGAGATAACACATGGACAAACTTGATGCCTAACCCAATTTGCAATGTTAACCTAGATGTTAATCCAAGTCCCTGGGTATGTCTTATGTGAATTGCCACTGGCTTTTAAAAATGCTATTTGAATAAACTTTTCTTAAAAGTTCCATCATTTTGCCTATTTTATACTCCATCTCTTTTTGCTGCTATTGTTGTTATGTTTCTTTTCTATTTTCTTGTGCATCAATTCTGCGTGGATTTTAGCCCAGTGCAGGATTACTCACAATGATAATTAGGGGTACTACTTGTTTCGTTTTTTGGCACTTTAAGAAAAAAATATTGATTCCACGATTATTTCTTTGATTATACAGTATTCTCTTCATGGGAGCTGCCCTGTAATTAAGGGTGAAAAATGGGTCGCCACAAAGTGGATCAGAGATCAGGAAGACTATTCATGACCCTTGTCTCCATCTGTGTTTAATTTAATTATGTTGTATTGTAATTTCTAGCATCGGTCATTGTAATATCTTGCAGCTGTGTGATGCCTCCATTCTTTCATGTCTTTTCTAGTGAATCATGAAAGTTGTCGCTCAGACTCAAAGACGACATTTTATGTATATGTTCAGTGATGAGAAGCACTTTTCCTCCTTTTTATTCCTCTCCTCTGCTGATCCCTAACAATGCATCCCAGTTGATGTATGTATCTGTTTAAAGAAAATGATTTCCATGCATTCTACTAGTACAAATCTTTATGTTCTGAAGGGACCTAACACTCCCCTACCCTTTGTTGCAAGGGCAGCTACAACTTTCAGCTGTTGTACCTATCATTCAAACCAGCAATGTTGTTTCTAATGCTAAATCTTTTACGGTCCTAAGGAACCATACTGAATGTTAAAGCGCCGAACTTAATTAGGTGGATTTTGATGAACTTCAAGTTTTTAAAAATCTTGGATCAATTTCAAGTAGGGAAAAACAACTCGAATTCATAGAGCCCTAATGTGACACAGTTATCCTTAGGGGAAAACTGATTTGGAGCACTTTTGGAAGGAGAATTGATTTGTAGCATTGAAGAGCTGCAAAGTATTGCCATTTTTAGCACTTGCATCCATTTGGGACCTCGCCACACGCTTCAATGTGCTACAGCTCCTTGCAATCCGGTTTATAAGGGTTGCTGACTACGTTCACTAGCATCAGTGAATATCCTTTGCATACACACTTTTGAGCCTTGAATTCAATATAACCTACTATAAATTATAATTCATAGCAAGTTTGAGTTTTGACTCTTTAAGTTGTTCACTTGATTTGATTTTGTTGCTGAAATGTGTGTGAGCATATGATCATCATTATTACAGTAAACTCTAACCTCGATTCCCCTGGCTGTCGCATATGTCACATGCCGCATGGATAGGAGCTTGCCCTTTATGGAATTAATCCTTCCTTCTGTAAATAATTTGAATCTCAAATTTCCTTCCAATTCTATGTCGTCTAGGTGCGCATGTGTAACAATCATATGATTTCACATAGGTAGGATTTTTAGGAGCTTAATTCTAAAAGAACTTAGGGTGCAACAACAATATGACATCCATACTCATAAAAGCTCATTCCATGTGCATACAACCAAGTCTCCACATTAAACATATGCTCAAATTCAAGTATCCATTTTTCTCAAATTTCTTTATAAATTAAAATTCTTATAAACAACAAATATGCAAAAGACAGGATGGTCCTCCCATGGGGTTAGCGTCGCCCTCACGTCATCTCCATGTGGTGGTGACATGGGGACTAGTCAGCCACATGTAGCACCCATTGGCCATTTGGGTATCATGTGTGGAGCCATGAAGGCTTGTCCTCATGTATCATTTCATAAAAACAATTTAAAAAATCTCAGTATTTGCTCCAGAAAATTCTAAAAGAATCCCAAATATTCTCCAAAGCGTAGTCTATTATTTTTACTCACTTTAGCATCACATAAAAATATTAATTAGAGAAATTAGGATCTTATGGAGATGAATTGGGTAATTGAGTATTGCATTTGGCTAGATCCAAATCCCAAAGTCATATTCTCATAATGACCTAACAAACCCATGGTCGATAATATGTGCAAGAGCTTATCGAAGTCTATCCAATACATGACTCTTGGACTTTCTGGTTACAGTGGATTACAAGTGCACCTCTGAAGACATATCTCTTGTTGATGTAGGGTCTTGTCTTCACACGTGCATTTCTTTTTCAAGTAGATCAACTATAAAATAGTGGCTTCCCATATATAACGGTGTATGCACATGCTCTGATAATGTTTGAGGTAAGGTATTTGGGCTTATGTCCTCTCAATGGTTTTCGTCAGCATATGGCCATTACACCATCATGAGGCATAAAACAATTTGACCGTGACTAGTGGTAACCATCAACTCTCTTGGCACCTTTCAATACTCAGATCCCTTGACAAGGGGTTTGTGACTCTTGGTCTTAGTTCGCCAAGATCTAAAGTTATATAGCTTTCGTTCACTCCCACTAAGAAAATGAATTGTAAAATATTAGGGTCTAAAGCCTTGAAATGCCATGACTTCAACACCTCTATCTCCCAAAATTAAAATCCTCCAAAATTGACCCTAATGTATACTTCTTTAGGCGCCTTTCTGCAATCTTCTAGTACTTCTGGTAATTTTCCGGTATATATGATGCTTAATTCCTATTAAAGCGATCAACCCTGCAATTTCAGGTTAGTGGGCCATTTTTTATTTGGAACCGTCAATTATCCTGTCTTTTAAGGGTTTTTGGAATTAAATGATGCCCGGAGGTACATGTTGCCATGTGTAAATTGTCAGTCACTCTAATGTAAATGTAGCCAATCAATTTTATTTTAAATTGATGAATTATCGACCCAGAATTGTTAGCTCATTATCATTTTCAAGCGATGTCCAGAAATCTATAACGACCGTTGCTTATGAAATTTAAGACTAAAAAAACGGTGCAAATTGAAAAAATCTATAAATGTTTAAGCATCTTGATAAATGTGTTAAATTTTTAGAACTTCAAATCCTTTTTCTCTTACTTATGCTCTAGATGTCTTCAGAGTGAGATGATGGCTTTCTACTTCTTTTCTTCTAAAAAGTTAACCGTTAGTAGCGTGTTAGCAATTCTTGAAGCCGTTTGTAGTTTTCCAAAGGGATTAGCATTGATAGAAAATGCAAACCAGGACTAGTAGCTTGCCACCTTGACTCACGCCATTCCTTATGACACGTCAAATTTTAAAGTTAACACCTACACCAACTTACCACATTGATGGATTGAAAAGAAAAGGCAAACGTTTATATAAGGTTGACACCTTAAAATGTAGAATTAAGATGCACCTCTAAAAATTTTCGAAAAAGGTTGTTTTGGTGTTGGGAAAATATCTAATTGATCATCATGTCATTGAGATATAGATATAGAGAAAAAAGGTTATTTCAAGTACTAAAAATAGTATATTTGCAACACATCATCTAGACCATCCATTTTCAAGATTTTCATGCATTTATAGATCTATTTGATTTGAACCATTTTTTAAGTTTTCAATTTTATAATTAGATATAAAAATAGATTGTCACACTATCCTAAGAATTTACAACACCAAACTTGCATCTCATGAAAAAACTCGGAGGTGCACCTTATTTTGATGGAAAAAGCTTATGTAAGTGCGAGGCTCTAAACAATCAAATTAGGATGTACAAAAAAAAATTCACTAGAAGAGGTTATTTTGATGCCTAAATATCCTCAAATTGATCATCTCAACCTCAAGATACATAGACATGATAAAAAAATGGATCTCAAGTTTTGGAAATAGTTCATCTTGTAATGCATTTTTGGACCGTCAATTCTCAATTTTCATAGATCTGCTCAATCTAACTATTTTTGAAGCTTTAAATATAATTTAAGGTTATCACAAAGATTTCCAGTATTGAAATAAGATTTCTTGATACTATTTGAAGGTTTACTTTGATTGTTTAGAGCCTCGGCTTTATACAAACCACACGCTATACAAACTACACCCAAAAGAAAATGATTAATATGAAGAAGTCAAAAGATTTTATGTACGAGCATGCCAATATAATAGTAATTTTAGGATCCCAAATTTTAAAAATGTAACATATGGTCAACCTGACGTTAAAAAAAGAAAAATTCCATCAACTTTCTATGCCCTTCAAGAAAATAATGCCTCAATATTAAACTGAGACTGTTCAAATCTTCGAGGATAAGACCTGAGTGTTAAAAAACTTGAAATTCAAACTCTCTTTTGAAAATACTGTGGTACTTCTGAAAATTTTAGATTCAAAAAAATACTTCTAAGTGGAATCTGTACCCGAAGGAGTAGATGGACAATAATGCTCCCGTGGGAACATAGTCTGAATAATACTGTGGTACTTCTGAAAATTTTAGATTCAAAAAAATACTTCTAAGTGGAATCTCTACCCGAAGGAGTAGATGGAAAATAATGCTCCTGCGGGAACATAGTCTATAAGCTCAAGGAAAAAGCAATCATCTATCGTTCCCTTTGCTTTTTTTCTTTTTTCTTTTTTTTTTGACTAAGATTTGAATATCCATCAAAATTAAAAGGAAATCACGTGGTTAGAAACAATAAAAGAAAAAAGTAAGGTACCCCCTTTAGCCAAAGCATATGCAAGGGAGTTAGCTTCACGAAAGATATGGGAAAAAGAGATGGAAAAGCAAGCTGCAACGTCCAAAGCCCGAAGCTACAAGGATCTTAAATCCCATGGCACATTTTGCTCCTTCTTGCACCACTTAATAACGTTAAGTGAGTCTCATTCTATCATACAAGTTGAGCCGAGGTTCTTATCTAAGAAGATTTGGAGGTCCCTGAAGAGTGTCGTAAGCTCAACTGTCGCAATACCAATAGGGCCCGCATAAGAGAAAACAACATTACCATAACAATCTCTAACGACTCCCCTTATATCTGCATGTCTTGGGTTTCCCACCGAGCTCCTTTCAAAGTTCAACTTGTAACTCCCAACGGGCGGAGCAAGCCACAGACCTTTGGGTCTATTCGGAATAGAACCAAGTGAGAACAGGTTGGTCAGATTAATCATGACATCAACCTTGGTAATTCCCCACCCATCTTTGGCCATCGAAAGATACGACCAAATGGAAAGTTTAATAAGGTGGATGAGCTTTTCAACAGGCAACGCAACCCCTTCCCAGATCTTCTATTTCTGTCCCTCCAAACTTCCCAGAGAATGAAGCTTTTAGCAACCAACCAAATAATCTTTCTTTATCACGTCCACTTCATGGAGTTAACAACAATTAATTACTCAAGTTAATAATCTTTAGATTAATAACAGCTTGTAGCTTTAGAAACATGATCAGAGGTTCAGCTATAGGTTTGGGATTGTAGGATAAAATTTCCATGAATATGTATATTTTTAAGCTTAAAGATATTATACTCTCATGTTAGTATGGTGTCTGCTTACTTCCTCAGATAAAAACCTATAGAGGAATAATTTTAAGAGCATAAATTTTGGGGATGTAATCTCTTCAACCCATGTACCCATATATTAACCTCAATAAAAAAATCATTCTTAATTACTCCTTTTTTATATTTGAAAACAAAACATAATATTAGAGACTGTCCAATTTTTAGATGGTGAGATTTAAATGTTAGAAAACTCAAATTTTAAATTTGTTTTTTTGTTTTGTTTTGATAATAATCATCTAGTGATTCTTAAGTGGTTCCCAAAATTTTGATTAAAAACATCCTCTCAAGATTTCAAATCTATAGTCTATGTACTCCATATTTAAACTAAGGCCTCGAGATTAAGAGTCCTATCTAGGAGCCCAAATTGTAGGGATAAAACCTTCTCAACTAATAACCAACCTCAAAAAAAAAATGAAACGAACACACCAAAGAAAAAGAACTCCAGCATTACATAATGCCCATATCTATCCCAAGTTTATACTGAGGTCTTACTTTTTTGTTATTTTTATTTTTCCCAGTTTCTTATTTTATTTTTTTACTTTATGCCCATTACATAATGCCCATATTTTTCCAGTTTCTTATTTTATTTTTTCCCGAATTTATACTGAGGTCTTACTTTTACATTATACTGAGATCTTACTTTTACATAATGCTGAGGTCTTACATAATGCCCATATTTTTCCCATATTTATACTGAGGATTGGCAAGAACCCAACTAGAAATAATCGTTTTAATCCTAACAGTAATAGTCTTTTCTAATTTTTGCCATGAACATTAACTAGTCTGAAATCCTACAGTCCGCCTTGAAAAAATAAACAAATGATGGTATACTTATCATTCTTATACCAAACAAATATAGGCCATGGATAATTTGAATATTTTAAATATGTTGTTTTAAAGCCTAGAGTCGGGTCTTGGATTGTCTACCCAAATTACCTATTTAGATCGGTCAATAGGTAATCCGTATATCGGTATCAGCTGAACCAGTTAAAATTAGTTAGAATTGGGGGTATTTGAGGGGGACTCTGATTCCCCACCCATCAAATCCAATTGGTATGGGGGATTCCAATCTAGATCACTGGGTTTCATGGAAATTACTATAACTTTGGTAACATGTTTTTCCTTGAACGATTTTCGAAGGGGTGAGCTTTGTAAAAAAGCATCAACCTAAAAGAATCAAAGTGAGATGCGCCTCTAAATCATGTTGAAAGATATAGTCCTGGTATCGAAATTTGTTATGACGGCATGAAAATGTATCGTCAACCTTAAATATGAAATTTGAAGTTAAAAAAATGGTATAGATCGACCGAATCAATAAATAATTACATTTATTTGAAAACAGATAATTGGGAATTTTGAAGTTTAAAAAATAGTGTAGATCAAACTAATTTATAAATAAATTTTTTTTTTAAAATAGATAATTGGCACACCCTTTTTCAAAAAATACTACAAAACGCTTATAGGTGAAGTTCTACAGTATTTTACTTACGACTTTATCACCATTTAAAGTTTGTCACACAATCATAGATATCTGATAGTGTTTGAATTTTAATATTTTTTTTACAAATTATAGTGATCTGAAATTTTGTAGGTGTGTGCTCCTTAGTAAGATGCACATGAATAAAGTATGAAACAAATAATTGGAATGATAAAAATTATACAAAATATCCCTATAAAATTTCAGAAGTAATTTCATTATTTTATTTTATGACTATTATTTTTTTAATATTTTATTTTGATACGACGTAGTAATATATACGTATGTTCTAAATTTTAAATAAATATAATTAATAAAATAATTATAAAAATTTAAATATTATCGAACAATTATGACCGTATGATAAACTTTAAACTGCTATAAAAGTATAGGTGAAATACGGTAGAACTTCCTTAGTAGACGCGCTTCCCTATTTATCGTGGATTAAACCCCGTATAAGCTCTTTCCTTCCAAAAAAAACAAATCGTCTCCAAGAATTTTGCAAAAGATTAGGATGTTTAGGTCATTGAATTGAAAGATGCAGGCCGTTTTTGTCATTTTCCAATAAAGCCTCGCTTCAACGGTCAGATATTGGGTTTTGATTTTAAATTAATACCAAATTCCTTCGTCTCGTCCAACGGTTCTCTTTTGTTTGTGTTTTCTCTTCCTTCACTCTCTTCCCCTCTCTCCATCTCCTGGAAAATCAGCGATCGTTTACCTCTGCTTCATTGTTTCAGCTCCTCTCCCTTGATTTCTCTCTCTCTCTCTCTCTCTCTCTCTCTCTCTCTCTCTCTCTCTCTCTC